TCTTGATTGCACTCTGAAGGTCAAAGATGAAAAGTGTCATGAAAACTCAGCAAGGATAGATTAACTGCCCTTTTAGCGTGTAAAATGGACAGTTCTAAAAAAATCGGAACCCCTTATAATAGGGAAATCTGTGAAACCAGGATGTTTTAAATAAATAAAATAATTGAGCACAGTTTATAGGTAAGAAAAAAATCGTAGATGACGACAGAAGTTGTTCATTGAATGACTGACCTCAGTTAACAGTGACATGAAAAAGAAAAACTGTGTTTGGTCAACTGCACCGTGCATAATAACCTACCAACATTAGACCACGTAAAAATGATTTTTTCCAGCCAACACGACATCAAGATTGTAACCGTTCGACTAGGGCATAATTCAAAATGTGAAATCTCTCTACCATTGAAGAATTGTTTCTCTTGTGCTGGAAAACAATGAAAAGGTTGAAAAGGTAAACATAAAAGTTTTTACCACTATATGATGATTGATAAGGCCTGGAAAAATGTCAACCCTACAAATATTTATATATGCTTCAGAAAGTGCGGATTTAAGCAGGCAAAAGCGTAGAACAGTCATCGGAGCCGCCAAAAATTAAAAATTCTGATTCAGGGGGGGACGTCTACCTAACTATGGAGAATTAACATTTGAGGATTATTCTCATTTCAACGATGACATCAGTGTCCACCGTGCCGATGCCGAAATATTAAATTTGAACCATCTGGATGAGAACGAGGAAGAAGACGAAGAACCACCAATCCCAGTCACAGCAAGACAAGGAGATCTCTTACTACCCTAAGCTTCTACGCCCTCAGAACCGACACAAGTGACGATTTCTTCGCAGCACTCACTACTATCGAAAAGTCATTGGACAATGATAGACTGAAGTCGCTCACTCAGCAAATTATTACGGTCTTATTTTTAAAATGAATATTTGTAAATAATTGTAAAAATGTTTAAATTGATAAATCATTAATTTTGAGATAAATAGAGATCAAATTCTTGTTTGAGAAAGGACAAGATCCGAGAGAAAGCTTCCATAAGTTTATTACTTTAAAAATTTGCGGTAAGTCAATTATTTAATTTTATATCGACACAGTATATATATCTTGAAATTGCCAAAACTTCAAACTCTTAGGACTAATAGTTTAGCATTAGGACTAATAGATATCGAGACTCAGTTCATATTTTCGTGTTTGAAGAGTCTGTAGGCCGCGTTGCGTGGCGGCCGCAGAGCTTACTCCTGGCTAAAAGAGAGAGGAGTGTGGCTATACCCCTCTCCATCCTGGTCCAGGCTCCCGCCGCGCCGTATTTGAATTCTCGAATTCTGTAAGTTGGTCACCGAGATATTTGAGCTGGACCGCGCGCTGACTCCGCCCCGTTCCTGACCTTCCTATCATCGGGAGCTGCTACCGCTTACGTCCTTCCGACCTCCTGGCTCCTGCGCGATGGGTTGGAGCCTGCGTTGTAGATTTGTGGGTTCTGCCGCTCCTCTTACCCATCCAACGCGGTGTACACTGGCGGGCGCATTCTTCTTGTCTAGCTTCTGCCGGCGTTTTGTGGACGAGAACTTGAGCGGGATCTACCGCGTTGGCACTATCGTGAAGGCTGTGGTGCTTCTCGCCTGTCACCACCCGCACTGCCCGCTGGAGCGCCAGCACCTGGCTGCCCTGTCCATAACCCAGCTCGTGAGTAGATAATTGACACATCTTAATCTCCCTATCACCATCTGCTAGTCGTTTCCCAAGCCCTGCGCTTTCTCCGCCTATGATAAAGATATAGCATTGAAACTATCCGCCTTCCAGCCAACCCGGCCTCGGCCCAACAATCCCTCTGTGGGTCCAGCGCCCTGACGCTAGCCCACCGGTACTTGCCCTGCCGCTGCGTCAGGCCTCTCATCCACGAAGTGTTGACCATCACAAGGCGGCCCCCTGACCTGCAGGTCTGGGACTTCGGGCGAAGACTGAATGGAGACGACATCCTGACATCTTCCAAGACTTGCCTTTATCTCACTCTTGAACTGAGAGAGGTTCGGGTGGATCCTGTCTGAAGGAGGACAAGGTGGAGTCCTCACTGAGGACAGCTGAAGGTATATTTTTCCCACATAATTTTTGTTTTCATTTTACAATTTAACTATTAACTAATTTTTGCGAATAAAATATTTTGAATTATCAATTTTCTTGTTTAAATACAACTTTATTGCTATGAATTCAACACTTTAGCATCAAAGGATTTATTCAAAATATCATAATTTGAGGAAAATAAAATTTAAGATTTTTATTTTCCAAATTTATTCACTTTCCTCCTACTTCATATGTGAACAAACTTATATATAAATCGTGATTGTAATTTTTCATGTTGAAAAATGTTTCTTAAAGCAAAATTAACTTTCTTTCCACTTCATAAGTGAATAAACGTATATATAAATAATGATTGTAATTTTCATGTTGAAAAATGTGTATTAAGGCAAATTCTATTTCTCTCTAAAAGTTAATCATGAAACATTCTAAACAAATTTAATAAAAAGGGCCGGATATTAAATATACACCAATTATTAATATAATAATTGAAATACATTACAAGAGTATTTACCAAGAATATTAATTATTCGTTATTTGGTTGTCCTAGATAAATATCGACAAGCAGTTTTGTTGTGTGTGTGTGAGAAAATGTTGCGATGATTTGAAAATTACTCAACCTACTTTAATTCAGCGCCGAAGCAATTCAATAAAATAGATATTGTTGGCTAGTTATATCTTCTTATTTCTGTCAGTAGATTAGATCACACAGGGCACAGTTGTAGATTCAGCTATCAGTTTGGTGTATTCCTAATTTTTCTGGAATACGGTGGTTGTGAAGTGTGTCAGCCATATATTTATCTGCTATACAAGGTCTTAGTGAGTTGATGAAGTAGAAGTAAGGGTTTATATCAATATTTTATTCCTGAGATTTGTTCCTAGTAGATCGATGTTGTCAGATTGTAGGATCAAGTAACAGATCATCGGCTCTAGTAGGCTCCACATTGCTGCTGTGCTCCCATCAGGACGTGGAGGAACGACTGGAATCATTACTTCCGGCCTCAAGGAGATCTCCCAGTACATATTGAACCGCTTCTCGACCTGAACACATCACTGCAGGCAGGACAATGTCCTCTGGAATAGTTTTTAATTAACTATTTTTAACTTACCCTATATTCTAACATTCTAACATTATATGTATATGGAATATAAACCAAAATAGTAGATATTCAGAACAATTAATTTTGAGATATTTTGCATCTACTTATATAATTGCCTTATTCTGTCTGTGTGAAGTTCACTGTCTGAAGTTCACGGATAGATTTTGGTCAGAGTCATCAGAGTCATCGATTCTGTCATCGTTTTAAAAAATTAAAATATTAAAAAAAGATGCCGAAACCCGGGATCGAACCAGGGACCTTTAGATCTTCAGTCTAACGCTCTCCCAACTGAGCTATTTCGGCTTATTTTATTCATTTCTATAGAAGCTTCTATCTTTATAATTATGTATATTTTCAAAAAGTCAATTCACACCTCTTCGCTGGAGACCATGGGAATACTGACTAATTCATTATGCTAACATAATCATCATCATCTACTTATATAATTGCCTTATTCTGTCTGTGTGAAGTTCACGGATAGATTTTGGTCAGAATGGATAAAATAAAAAAAGTGTCAAGGGATGGGAATCGAACCCACGACCTTCCGCTTACTGGGCAGATGCCATGACCACTAGGCTACCCTGGACATATTTTTCCGTTCATAAAGTTTATATATGATGCCAATATCTACTTATATAATTGCCTTATTCTGTCTGTGTGAAGTTCACTGTCTGAAGTTCACGGATAGATTTTGGTCAGAGTCATCAGAGTCATCAATTCTGTCATCGTTTTAAAAAATTAAAATATTAAAAAAAGATGCCGAAACCCGGGATCGAACCAGGGACCTTTAGATCTTCAGTCTAACGCTCTCCCAACTGAGCTATTTCGGCTTATTTTATTCATTTCTATAGAAGCTTCTATCTTTATAATCTATATTAATAAAATGCAAATTTCATAAGTGTTGTTCACTAAACACTTTCGTTACAATGCATCAATTTCGACCAAATTTTCAACATTTATGTAAAACGAGATGGAGCAGGTTTTGCTTAACATCAAAATATTTTTCCCTAACATTAACATGCGTAACTTCGCTGTTATCGATTAAATACAAAAAAAAATCAACAGAGTTAATTTTATTTATATATAAATACAAAATTAAATTTCAACAGAGTTAATTTTTCTACATACTAGCTAATAATCTCAATCTAAAAAATATTCAAAACAAGCAATTTTAAGATAACACCATATGTAAAACAGTCGGCCAAGAAAACAAATAACGTGTAATATATATATAATAAATATAATATATATAATATAACGGTATAATAACGGTATAAAGAAATAATGAGCCTATCGTTCAAATTTATAATTGTAACGAATAGTATTTTAATTAAAACATTTTAAAAACACACAGTTTGGAACGGGACGTTTCACAAGAGTGACATCCATGGCGCCAATTTATAATTGTAACGAATAGTATTTGAATTAAAACGTTTTTAAAATATATACGCACTCGGGTAAAACCCGGGCGTTGCCCGGGCCATTCGTATTATATAAATATATAATAAAAAATATAATGTAATGAATATTATTATCATTATTATCATAATAGTCTATGTTCCGGAAAATTATTTTCAATAATATTCGTTAGGCAAACTTTCACTCAGATAAAACCCGGCGAAGCCGGGTACACATCCGCTAGTTATGTATATTTTCAAAAAGTCAATTCACACCTCTTCGCTGGAGACCATGGGAATACTGACTAATTCATTATGCTAACATAATCATCGTCATCTACTTATATAATTGCCTTATTCTGTCTGTGTGAAGTTCACTGTGTGAAGTTCACGGATATGTTTTGGTCAGAATGGATAAAATAAAAAAAAAGTGTCAAGGGATGGGAATCGAACCCACGTCCTTCCGCTTACTGGGCAGATGCCATGACCACTAGGCTACCCTGGACATATTTTTCCGTTCATAAAGTTAATATATGATGCCAATATATATAATAATTGTATAAACGAATGCAAGACAAAATCACCGCGAATGTTTCTTTTTTTAAGGCAATTTTTGTTTCGATTTTATTGAAAAAAAAAACGATATGGTGCCTTTAAAAAATGATCTTTATTACTATACAGTTTTCTATTTAGTCAATATACCTAAGTTCATGTTGCAAATGTAATTATCTCTATCGATTTAGTAGGTGAAATGCAAAAAAAAAATCGACATGATGAAATCTTTATGAAAATTCACATTTTTATTTTTATATTTTCAAGACACACACAGTTTGGGGAGGGACGTTTCACAAGAGAGACATCCACGGCGGCAATTTATAATTGTAACGAATAGTATTTTAATTAAAACATTTTAAAAACACACAGTTTGGAACGGGACGTTTCACAAGAGTGACATCCATGGCGCCAATTTATAATTGTAACGAATAGTATTTGAATTAAAACGTTTTTAAAATATATACGCACTCGGGTAAAACCCGGGCGTTGCCCGGGCCATTCGTCTAGTGAGATATAAATGCACAAATTTTAAAATAGATTATATTTTAAAAAAATATATTCCCTGAATTATACTTGAAAATAAACAATAACAGTATAAATTTGAAAGTATCTTCTAATTTTATATATAATACATAAAGTATAGAGAACAAGGGCATCAAAATTTGAAAGTACTGTCTGAATAAAATATAAGCTATGAATTATCTGGTGCCATAGAATTCAGTGTTTCTCGAATTTCGATATATTCTCCACGAGACTTTAATAAACAAAAATCCACAAATTATAAAGTACTGTCTAAATGTGAAATTATTGGAAATGAGATATAAATTTTGAAAAATAGTATAAATGAAACATAGAAGAATGTTTGATACAAAACTGATAAAACTTCGAACTTCCTGGGTCCATTTATAATCAGATTTTAAAGTAGGGTCGACTATTTCAATTCTTATCCCCACTAAAAATATTTTAAGATATATCAAAATTTTGAATATTCCAAACTTGATCTAATATTACACTTGTAAACATTTATGTTTCTGAACTTTTTTTTTCAACATAATATATTTATATTTTGGTGTAATGAATGTAACTTAAATATGATAAATCATACACATTTTTAATTCTATCAATACCTATTGACAAAACTTAGAGTTCCTCTTTTTCTGATCAAAATTATATAAATAATAAACTAGAAAATAAGCTAGCTGTTGAAAATTTGTATCAAGTTATAGAAAATGCATTAAAAAATATTAATTTTTAATTACACTATAAACCTTTCCTATCATCCCAAAGTCAATACCTCTCTTTATCAAATATGTGACCTCTACTAAAATCTTAATTTAAATTGTCTACATCCCGTCCTTTACCGCAAGCTAGGCTCTGTCTGCTAAGACATGAATTATAGCCTTTTGTTATCACTAGACCCCCTTTCTACTCCAACTTAGCCAACTGAACATAAATGAAACAAAAATCACCCATGCCTCCTCCTACCTAAATATTCCCCTCCCCCTCCTACCTAAATATTACCCTCCCTCCCTCCTACCTAAATATTCCCCTCCCCCTCCTACCAAAATATTACCCTCCCTCCCTCATACCTAAATATACCCCTCCCCCTCCTACCTAAATATTCCCCTCCCCCTCCTACCTAAATATTACCCTCCCCCCCTCCTACCTAAATATTACCCTCCCTCCCTCCTACCTAAATATTACCCTCCCTCCCTCCTACCTAAATATTCCCCTCCCCCTCCTACCTAAATATTACCCTCCCTCCCTCCTACCTAAATATACCTCTCCCCCTCCTACCTAAATATTCCCCTCCCCCTCCTACCTAAATATTACCCTCCCCCCCTCCTACCTAAATATTACCCTCCCTCCCTCCTACCTAAATATTACCCTCCCTCCCTCCTACCTAAATATTCCCCTCCCCCTCCTACCAAAATATTACCCTCCCTCCCTCCTACCTAAATATACCCCTTCTCCTCCTACCCAAATATTACCCTCCCTCCCTCCTACCTAAATATTCCCCTCCCCCTCCTACCAAAATATTACCCTCCCTCCCTCCTACCTAAATATTCCCCTCCCCCCCCCTCCTACCTAAATATTCCCCTCCCCCTCCTACCTAAATATTCCCCTCCCCCTCCTACCTAAATATTACCCTCCCTCCCTCCTACCTAAATATTCCCCTCCCCCTCCTACCTAAATATTCCCCTCCCCCTCCTACCTAAATATTCCCCTCCCCCTCCTACCTAAATATTACCCTCCCTCCCTCCTACCTAAATATTACCCTCCCTCCCTCCTACCTAAATATTCCCCTCCCCCCCTCTCCTACCTAAATATTCCCCTCCCCCTCCTACCTAAATATTCCCCTCCCCCTCCTACCTAAATATTACCCTCCCTCCCTCCAACTTAAATATTCCCCTCCCCCTCCTACCTAAATATTCCCCTCCCCCTCCTACCTAAATATTACCCTCCCTCCCTCCTACCTAAATATTACCCTCCCTCCCTTTTACCTAAATATCCCCCCCCCCTCCTACCTAAATATTACCCTCCCCCCTCCTACCTAAATATTACCCTCCCTCCCTCCTACCTAAATATTACCCTCCCTCCCTCCTACCTACATATTACCATCCCTCCCTCCTACCTAAATATTACCCTCCCTCCTACCTAAATATTCCCCTCCCCCTCCTACCTAAATATTCCCCTCCCCCTCCTACCTAAATATTACCCTCCCTCCCTCCTACCTAAATATTACCCTCCCTCCCTCCTACCTAAATATTCCCCTCCCCCCCTCTCCTACCTAAATATTCCCCTCCCCCTCCTACCTAAATATTCCCCTCCCCCTCCTACCTAAATATTACCCTCCCTCCCTCCTACCTAAATATTCCCCTCCCCCTCCTACCTAAATATTCCCCTCCCCCTCCTACCTAAATATTACCCTCCCTCCCTCCTACCTAAATATTACCCTCCCTCCCTTTTACCTAAATATCCCCCCCTCCTACCTAAATATTACCCTCCCCCCTCCTACCTAAATATTACCCTCCCTCCCTCCTACCTAAATATTACCCTCCCTCCCTCCTACCTACATATTACCATCCCTCCCTCCTACCTAAATATTACCCTCCCTCCTACCTAAATATTCCCCTCCCTCCCTCCTACATAAATATTCCCCTCCCTCCCTCCTACCTAAATATTACCCTCGCTCCCTCCTACCTAAATATTCCCCTCCCCCTCCTACCTAAATATTACCCTCCCTCCCTCCTACCTAAATATTCCCCTCCCCCCTCCTACCTAAATATTTCCCTCCCCCCTCCTACCTAAATATTACCCTCCCCCCTCCTACCTAAATATTACCCTCCCTCCCTCCTACCTAAATATTACCCTCCCCCCTCCTACCTACCTACCTAAATATTCCCCTCTCCCCTCCTACCTAAATATTCCCCTCCCCCCTCCTACCTAAATATCCCCCCCTCCTACCTAAATATTCCCCTCCTCCCCCCCCTCCTACCTAAATATTCCCCTCCCTCCCTCCTACCTAAATATTACCCTCCCCCTCCTACCTAAATATTCCCCTCCCCCCTCCTACCTAAATATTACCCTCCCCCCTCCTACCTAAATATTCCCCTCCCCCCTCCTACCTAAATATTCCCCTCCCCTCCCCCTCCTACCTCAATATTACCCTCCTCTCCCTCCTACCTAAATATTACCCTCCTACCTAAATTATCCCCTCCCCCCCCTCCTACCTAAATATTACCCTCCCCCCTCCTACCTAAATATTACCCTCCTCTCCCTCCTACCTAAATATCCCCCCCTCCTACCTAAATATCCCCCCTCCTACCTAAATATTCCCCTCCCCCCTCCTACCTAAATATTCTCCTCCCCCCTCCTACCTAAATATTCCCCCCCCCCCTCCTACCTAAATATTACCCTCTCTCCCTCCTACCTAAATATCCCCCCCTCCTACCTAAATATTCCTCTCCCCCCCCCTCCTACCTAAATATTCATCTCCTCTCCCTCCTACCTAAATATCCCCCCCCTCCTACCTAAATTTCACCCCCCCTCCTACCTAAATATTCCTCTCCCCCCTCCTACCTGAATATTCCCCTCCCCCTCCTACCTAAATATTCCCCTCCCCCCTCCTACCTAAATATTCCCTCCCCCCTCCTACCTAAATATTCCCCTCCCCCCTCCTACCTAAATATTCCCTCCCCCTCCTACCTAAATATTCCCTCCCCCCTCCTACCTAAATATTCCCTCCCCCCTTCTACCTGAATATTCCCCTCCCCCCTCCTAGCTGAATATGCCCTCCCCCACTCCTGCGTAAATATTCCCCTCCCCCTCCTTCCTGAATATTCCCCTCCTATCTATATATTCTCCTCCGCCCCCCCCCCCCCCCCCTTACTAAATATCCCCTCCCTCCTTCCAACTAAATATCCCCACCGTCCCCTCTTAACAAAATGACCCTACTGTCTTTTCTAATTAAAGACCCCTCCATTCTCTCCTAACTAAATAAACTCACAGCGTCCCACTCCTACCAATATAACCTAACCGCCCCTTCATGGCTAAATCCACCTACACCGCTCCTCTTAACCATCTATCCCACATCCGTTCTTATATAATTGCCAACATCTACATCCTAAATGTCGACTTCAACTGCAGCGCTCCTAACTAACTTCCAACACTGCCTTTCCTCTTAACTGCGCCCATTTCCCCAATCCCCTCTAACTACTTTACAATTCCCTACTTCTGACTTCTACTCCCAATTTCCCTCTCCCTACTAATTGACCCATTAATTAATTTCCTATGAATTATTTCTCACTGCTTCCCCTTAACTAGTCTGCACTCCTATCAATTATTTCCTTCTAATTTTTATATTTGTAACTAAAAACCCCCACTGTCGCCTCTTTTAACTAATTCGCCCGCACTCTCCCTTACTTAACTATATAGTCCCAACTGTGCT